AAAAAAAAAAAAAAAAAAAAAAAAAAAAAAAAAGATTTTATTTATATATATATTTTTTGAGATGGAGTCTCACTCTGTCACACAGTGGCACTATCTCTGCTCACTGCAACCTCTGCCTCCCAGGTTCAAGCAATTCTCCTGCTTCAGTCTCCCAAACAGCTGGGATTACAGGCGCCCACTACCACACCTGGCTAATTTTTGTATTTTTTAGTAGTAATGGGGTTTCACCATGTTGGCCAGGCAGGTCTCGAACTCCTGACCTCAAATGATTCGCCCGCCTCAGCCTCCCAAAGTGCTGCGATTACAAGCATGAGTGACTACACTCGGCCTATTTTTTTTTTTTATAGAGACAGGTCTCAAACATCCTCCCACCTCAGCCTCCCAAAGTGCCGGGATTACAGTGTGAGCCACTGTGCCTAGCCTTAAAGGATTTCGGATTGCAATTTGTCACTACCAGATTTTTAGCTTACAACATTGGTTGATCCTGAAGTTCCAGTTTTAGAAATCCAACCTACAGAAAAACCAACTTGTTCGTGCAAAAAAAGAGTATGCAAGGAAGTTTTCTGCAATAACTCTAATGTCCATCCAAAGAAGAAAAACCAAATGTCGACCACACTGAAGCTGTTAAGAATAAAGCAGAGGTCGGGCATAGTGGCTCATGCCTATAATCCCAGTACGCTGGGAGGCCAAGATGGGCTAATCACTTTAGGTCAGGAGTTCAAGACCAGCCTGGCCATATGGTGAAATCGTCTCTATGAAAAATACAAAAATTAGCCTGGTGTCATGGTGCACACCTGTAATCCCAGTTACTGGGGAGGCTGAGGTTGCAGTGAGTCAAGATCACACCACTGCACTCCAGCCTGAGCAAGATGACACTCCATCTCAAAAAATAAATAAAGTGGCTGGGCGTGGTGGCTCACGCCTGTAATCCCAGCACTTTGGGAGGCTGAGGTGGGTGGATCACTTGAGGTTAGGAGTTCAAAACCAACCTCTCCAACATGGCGAAACCCCATCTCTATTAAAAATACAATACAAAATTAGCCAGGCATGGTGGTGCAAGCCATGGTTGTAGTGAGCCAAGATCGTGCCACTGCACTCAAGCCTGGGCAACAAGAGCAAAACTCCACCTCAAAATAAATAAATAAATAAAGTGTCCAGGGGGAGTACAAATAAATAAATACATAAAGTGGACTGACAGACAAGGTGGCTCATGCCTGTAATCCTAGAAGTGGGTAGATCACTTAAGCTCAGGAGTTTGAAATCAGCCTGGGCAACATAGTGAAACACCATCTCTACCCCAAAAAAAAGAATTTAATGGATGTGGTGGTGCATGCCTATATTTCCAGCTACTTGGAAGGCTGAAGTAGGAGGATAGCTTGAGTCCAGGAGGCAGAGGGTACAGTGAGCTGAGATCATGTCACTGCACTCCAGCCTAGGTGACAGAGTGAGACCCTGTCTGTATTATAACACCCCCAAAATGTATACATATATTCACATACATTCATGTAAACCTATATAGGAAAGTCTGGCTAGAAATACACACCAGAGTTACCAGCGATTACATGAGGGGAGAGTAGTAGACCATGAGTGTAACAGACTAAGGGAGCCCCTACTGTCAACACATGTATCACCTGCTACCAGCAACAAGTTCACTTTCTTTTTTTTTTTTTTTGAGACGGAGTTTCACTCATGTTACCCAGGCTGGAGTGCAATGGCGCGATCTCGGCTCACCGCAACCTCTGCCTCCTGGGTTCAGGCAATTCTCCTGCCTCAGCTTCCTGAGTAGCTGGGATTACAGGCACGCGCCACCATGCCCAGCTAATTTTTTGTATTTTTAGTAGAGACGGGGTTTCACCATGTTGACCAGGATGGTCTCGATCTCTTGACCTCGTGATCCACCCGCCTCGGCCTCCCAAAGTGCTGGGATTACAGGCTTGAGCCACCGCGCCTGGCCTAACAAGTTCACTTTCAACCAAGCAGGACACCACTGACTCTGTGGCCAGAGAAAAACTTAGTTTGGTTCTGCCTGTCTGCAACTGCTCATCAGAGCACCCCACCTGGGGTATCCCACTGTCTACTGCTTTTCTAAGATATTGGTCCCTGACTAATCAGTTGGCCCCTTCCCTGTGGGGGCTTCCCATATGTCTGGTTCTCACCTGGAATGGTGTCTTGAGGAATTCCTCTCTCCACTGGCCAGAAATCTTCTGCCTCCTCTAACTGAGATACCACATCTGGTTTGGAAAGCTGATGTTCTGCTCAAAGGAAAAGAGACAGGGCTTGGGGGGGGGGTCTGTGTTTGGGAGAAAATGCTATCCTATGGCAGCACAAGCCGTCTCCACCTTCTCCCCTGCATGACATGACTGCTGGCCTAGAGTGGTGAATCCAACTCCAACCATCCCTGTTATTGGCTTTCCTAGACTCCTTTGCCAAGCAGCTGAGGGGTCCAGTTCTGGTCAGCCAGATACAGTGGTAGATCGGTCAGCTGGGGGACACTCTGGGAAAGCTTTTGTTTTCTGGTTATACATGACAGCTGTAAGAGAGCTGGCCAAAGCTACCCCTTCTCTTCTTTTTTGCCTTGAATACAGATGCAATGCTTGCAGCCACAGCCGTGCAATGATTTGGGGGAACACAGAAAGGTTCACCATAACCACAGATGGAAGGGACAGGCTTTTTTTTTTTTTTTTTTTAAGTTGGAGTCTTGTTTGCACACCCAGGCTGGAGTGCTGTGATGCTATCTCAGTTCACTGCAACCTGTTCCACCTCCCAGGTTCAAGCAATTCTCCTGGCTCAGCCTCCCAAGTAGCTGAAGCACCTGGCTAATTTTCATATTTTTAGTAAAGATGGGGTTTCACCATGTTGGCCAGGCCGATCTAGAACCCCTGACCTCAAATGATCTGCCCACCTTGGCCTCCCAAAGAGCCAGGATTACAGGCGTAAGCCACCATGCCCGGCTGGGACACGCTCTTTGATGCCAGGCCAAAGCTGCTGGACACTGGCATCACATTATCTGGAATTTCTGTGGAGGGTTTTTTGTTTGTTTGTTTTTTTAATAAAGATAGGCTCTATGTTGTCCACACTGGACGCATACTCCTGGGCCCAAGCAACCCTCCTGCCCAAGTCTCCTGAAGTGATCCACCATGCCTAGTGAGAACTCTTGTTACAAAAACAATAAGCATCCACTACTGCAGCTGAAAACATCCTTGACAGACCCACCTCCCTGGTATTCAGGAGCTCTGAGGGATGAACTACGCGATGCTTCAGAAGTCGTACTGAAAAGCTGCCCTTTTCTTACTTGTTGGTGCCCCTGCAATCTGAGCCCAAGCAGACACATACTTTAGAGGTGCTACATTTGTGCTACAAAGCACAGATCTTTATTGACCTGGAGGCCAGCCTTACCCACTGAGACCAGGTTCCTGTAGTTCTCCAGCATCACTTCCCTGTACAGGGACTTCTGTTTGAGGTCCAGCAGTCCCCACTCTTCCGGGTTAAAACCCAGTGTTACATCTTCAAAGGTCACTGGTTCCTAAAATCCAGATTCTTGTTCAGCCACAGGCCATCCTCATCCACAGCAAAAGAAAGACAGGGGAGGCTGACCAGGCCAGTGAAAGCACAGAATGGTCTACAAGATGACCCAAGGGCATTTTGGGAGTTATATCCTGAGTTCCTGTCTTTGTCTGAAACCCCAAGCAAACCCAAGCTTGACTCTATTCAGGTTACAGTAAGGAGAGCAACACATGAGGCCTCTGTAGCATATGAAAACCTATTTTTTTTCTCCCTGGGTGAGTCCTGAATGGGACATCCAAGACTCAATCAATTTCTTATTCATTTGAAAATTCTGACTTTGAGAGTGGTTTGTGTGCCTCCTAGGGAATTCTCTGAGCTGCACCATCACACCCAAGCCGTCAGCCCCCACCCAGGGCCCTGCTGCTTCTATCTCCTTCACAGGTCAGGGATTCATCCTCACCTGTCTTTTTACTTGTAAGTGAACGCAGCGGCTCTCACCTCTTTCTTGATGCCTATTTACCTGCTGAAATCTAAACAGAAGCCTGATCCCTGCATAGATCTGTCAATTACTCTTTGGGAGGCCAAGGCGGGCAGATCAGGAGGTCAGGAGTTCGAGAACAGCCTGACCAACACGTTGAAACCCCGTCTATACTAAAAATACAAAAATTAGCCGGGCGTGGTTGCGCGCGCCTGTAATCCCAGTTACTCAGGAGGCCGAGGCAGAAGAATCGCTTGAACCCGGGAGGCAGAGGTTGCAGTGAGCCGAGACTGCAACACTGCACTCCAGCGTGGGCGACGGAGTGAGATTCCGTCTCAAAAAAAAAAAAAAAAAAAAAAAAAAAAAAAATCAGCTGTAGCCCCAGCTACTTGGGGAGGCTGAGGCAGGAGAGTCGCTTGAACCCAGAAGGCGGAGGCTGCAGTCAGCCAAGATCGCGCCACTGGACTCCAGCCTGGGCAACAGAGGGAGACTCCATCTCAAAAACAGAAAAACATAAAAAGACCAGTCAATAACTCTTCCCAGTATAAAGGATACAAGGAAGAACCTCAACGTGGCCTTCAGAAGCCCCCACCTAGTCTCGTCTCTAACTACACCCTTGGAAAACCAAGCCACCTGCAGTTCCACCACCACGCAGGGTCTCTCACACACAGCCAGTCCCCACCCCCTCCCCGAAGTGATCTGGGGGATGCGGGTATCGCAGGGAAGGTGGCATCCCACCACCAGCCGCAACCCTCCAGGTGCGGCAGCGGACTCGAAAGCCTTAGGAAGCCTCTACTCACAGAGGACCAGACCGTCGGAAGCCTTGCGGCCATAGTTTCCTCCTTCTCAATGTGTCTGTGGTGGAAGTGCGCAGAGTCCTGAGGAAACCGAAGTTGGGAGGGGAGGGAAAGGCGTAAGAGCTCCGCAGGGGAGCTACCCTTGCCTCCGCCCAGGAACGGCTCCCTCAGCGGGAAATGACAAGTCCACCCAAACTGGAAAACGACCCGAGTGAGTCACAGGACTCCCACAGGACTGGACAGAACCAGCTTTCCCCTCCCCGAAAGGACGCCAAACAAGCCTCCTCCGTCCCACACACCGGAGCGGGTCGCCCCCCTGGCCCAGACCCCACGTTCCCGTAGGCGATCTGTTCTCTCCACCCTGGCGCCCCGAAAGCACTGTTTCCCCTCGGGGTTCCGGGTCACCGACCCGATCCCATGGAGCGGCGGGAGGACGGCAGACACGGCCAGCTCCGGGTAGCCAACCTCTGCGTGAAATGCAAAGAGGCCGCGCTCGCCCCCAGCGAACCGTTCCGGAGCCGCCCAGCGCAGCCCCAGACCGACGCAGATTTCGCGCGGCACTCACCCGGCGCGCGCCGCACAATGGCGCCAGTCGGCCTGCGGCGAAGTGCGTCAGCGCGCCGTCCGGGACTACAACTCCCAGACGACCCCGCGGCTCGCCTGCTCGCCTCACCCGGCGGCGGCCATCTTGACCGGTCGGTTCTGGGCGGCAGGCGAAGCCGGGGACTGCAGGAGGAAGGCACTCGTCGATGTCCCTCGGTGGTCCAGCTGGGCAAGGGGAGGCCTCTGGTGAGGGACGCTAGGCCGCAGGGCCTCACACCAATGTATGGCGACCCGAGCTGGGAGAGTGTCGTACCTCCCCACGAAGGCGACCACTCCTGGGGCAGAGCAGAAACTGGAGCTAGGAAAGGAGCGGGACAGGGGTCAGGCCGGAAGTGCCCGAGTGGGTGATGCTTGGTTGGTGGTGGGGGGGGGGCGAGATTTATTATGACGTCCCTTGGGAAGAGGAAGGGCGGGTAGGACCGGAAGTGCATGTGGCGGGCCGAACTGGCAGCTCCACTCGGTGGAGGGGCGGGGACAGGGAGGGCGGGGAGAATGCAGGAGGCGGGGCTAGGGCCCACGCAACTTTTGGGGAGAGGGAGGGGCGATTGGAGGACGGAAGTCGCGGGGGGAGTGGGGAGAGGTGCTGAAGTTCCATCAATTTCAAAGGCGTGAAAGAAGGGGCAGGACTGGGAGAGCAGGAAGTGTGCAGGAGTTGGGACTGACGGCACCGAGGTTTCTGGCAGACGGGTCATGCCCGGAAGTGAGGGTGGGCGGGGCCAAGCAACCACTCAAGGTCAGGGAGGGGCGAGAAACTTGGAGGACTTGAAGTGTGATGGGAACGTGGCTAAACGTCCATCCTAGTTCTGGAGAGATGATCAGGGCTGACTGTATACCAGGCATTGGGGAGGAGGAGCAGGCCCCTGTGCTCAGTATCCTCCTGTGGTCCACTTTGCTGCTGGAAGCTGAGGTGCTCATGTCTAGGGAGAGGAAACCGAGGTCTGTGTGCCGCCCTTCCTTGGGCCCCGGGCTGCTCTCATCTTCTTTAGGAGCTCAGGACAAGGAAGTATTCTCTTGGCGTCCCTCAGGGACCTACATCTGGTGTTTTCTCATCTTCCTTAAGTCCCAGGTCCTGATACGTTCCTGTCTTTCTTGGGGCCTGGTTGCTCTGATGATCTCTCCTCCTGGGGCTCAGGGCCCTGTGTACTCTTTATTGGTGTTTCCTGACAGGTCTCAGCAGCCCTCTACCTCCCTCTGGTGGTCTGTACACTGCCTGCTAAACTTGTTCCACTGGTTTTTCTTTTGGTCACTCTGGAGTATCCAACCTCAGGGTACACATTATCTTAATTGCTGTTGCTGTTAGTGTGTTGATTTTTGTATAGGAGTATTTACTCAGAGACTGTACGGATATCTTTTAGTCTAATATTTCCTTGGGTTTTTCTTGTCTATTATAGATAGAATACCCAATTTATTCCCCAATGAATAATTTGATATCTTCCTTTTCCATACTTGAACTTAAAAAAATTAACATTGTATAGTCCTAGCTACTATGACAGAGCTATGTTAAGTAGTCATGTTTACTAATAGTCTCGTTTTATTTTGGATTTGAATAGGGATACGTCTAATCCTTCATCCTCAAATTTGATGGAGGCCCTTAATCTCAAGGAAGCAAGCCCCTTGGAAATTCTTTTTTTTTTTCTTTTTCTTGAGACAGGGTCTTGCTCTGTTGTCCCAGCTGGAATGCAGTAGTGCAATCACGGCTCACTGCAGCCTCCACCTCCTGGGCCCAAGGTATCCTCCCACCTCAGCCTCTCAAATAGCTGGGACTACAGGTGCACGCCACCATACCTGGCTAACTTTTGTATTTTTTTGGTGGGGAGAGACAGAGTCTTGCTGTGTCACCCAAGCTGGAGTGCAGTGGCATGATCTCAGCTCACTGCAGCCTCTGCCTCCCGGGTTCAAGCAATTCTCCTGCCTCAGCTGCCCGAGTAGCTGGGACTACAGGCATGCACCACCACGCCTGGCTAATTTTTATATTTTTAATAGAGGCGGGGTTTCACCATGTTAGCCAGGCTTGTCTCAAACTCCTTACCTCAGGTAATCTGCCTGCCTCAGTCTCCCAAAGTGCTGGCATTACAGGCATGAGCCACCGCACCCGGCCACATTTTTTCTAGAGACAGAAACCTTACCATGTTGCCCAGTCTGGTGAAAATTCTTGTAATGATTTTTTTCTATTTATATGTTACAGTATAAAACATGATTTTTGGTTAAAAGTATTTGTTTTTCGCCAGGAATACATATATCTTGGATATATACATATATATCCAAATCCTATGCATAGTCAGGCATAGGTTTATTGAGATGCTGAGTTATTGAAATATATTAATATCCTTCCGTATGCTTTTTTTTTTTTTTTTCTTGAGACAGTTTCGCTCCTGTTGCCCAGGCTGGAGTACAGTCGTATGATCTTGACTCACTGCAACCTCTGCCTCCCATGTTCAAGAAGTTCTTCACCCTCAGTTTCCCTAGTAGCTGGGACTGCAAGTGGATGCCACGACGCCCAGCTGATTTTTGTATTTTTAGTAGAGATGGGTTTCGCCATGTTGGTCAGGCTTGTTTCAAACTCCTGACCTCAGGTGATCTGCCCTTTTCAGCCTCCCAAAGTGCTGGGATTACAGGCGTGACCCACTGCGTCAAGCCCCATATGCTTTTTTTAATCAATGGTCTACTGTTGGTTTAAATTAAACATATGGCTAAGATAAAATATGTAAAGCTATAAGTTGGCTGAAACCATTATGGGAGCTGCTGGTGTGCAACTGAGTCTTAAACCAGCTGTGCAACTGAATCAGGGACCCGGGATTTGATCTCCACTCATCATTCTCTGTCTCTGTTTCATCACACAGAGCATCTCAAATTGCTCCATATAAAGGGAGACACATTTTAAAATCATTTTTAGAAAGAAGAAAAATGTATACTCTAAGAATGTTATGCAGTTGTCAGGAAAAAAAAAAAGAAAATGCATCATTTTATCTTTGAAACATAAGCATTCAGGACACCTGTCTGAACTCCTTGGAGCTTGGGAACTTAAGGTTAGAGAAGTATAGATAAATTAATATGCATTTGGACCATAAGTTATTAATATCATAGCTTTTTTTTCCCCAGAAAAGAGGTTCTTCGGTTACTGCTGCTCATTCATTGTTTGACCATTTCCCCCAACATCAAAAGTAAGCTCACCATCAAGATAATCCACACTGCACATAGCACATGGGGAAAAGGCTAAGAATCTGGGCTCTGAGCAGAGGCTGATCACAAGCAACCTCCAGAAAATGGCTTGCCTCAAATAGGAATGCAGGAAGTCCACAGAATGCAGGACAAACCAGTGAGGCAGTTTTGGGTTAATCCAGTGCATGCCTTTGTACCCTGTGTCCATTAAGGCATGTTTGGTTGGAAATAAATAAAAACCCAAATAACTAACAGCATTTTCTCACGAAGAAAATCTGCAAGTAGGTCTTTCCTGGTGCTGGTGAAGCTGCCAACTGAAGTCACAGAGGATGAGGCTCCCGCTTTCCCTCTTGCTGTCCTTAGTGTGGGACATCTTTTCCTTAGGCCAGTAGGATGTAGGCAAGGAGCAAGCCAGCCACACACCCCCTGCTAGTCCTGAACACAACCCACCTCAATATTTCTCTGCCTTAGGAAACAGACCTTTTCTTCTCTGATGAGAACTGATTCCCATCCTTCTTCTTGAGTCTTTTTCTTGTTTACTGACTCCTCTCTTCAACAACCATGGAGGATACACTCATTGAAAAGGCAAGAAATCTGCTCTCTGCAATGTTGAAAATTTTCCACATATTCTTGTTACTACAAATATGAGGCCAGGCTCATACCTATAATCCCAGCACTTTGGGAGGCCAAGGCAGCTCAGGAGTTCAAGACCAGCCTGAGCAACATAGTGAAAACTTGTCTGAAGTAAAAAAGCAGAAAACTTCGCTGAGTGTGGTGGCATACTCCTAGAGTCCTAGCCACTCAGGAGTCTGAAGTAAGAAGATCAAAAGCCAAGGAGGTTAAAGCTGCAGTGAGCCATGATTGTGCCACTGTACTCCAGCCTAGGCAATAGAGCTTGACTTTGTCTCAATAAACAAATTATGATATGAAACAGACCTAAGTGCTATAACGATTGGGAAAGGAAACTTAAAATGCATTTAACATTAACATCCTTTAAAACCCCAATTGAAAAATTGGTATGATTACAATAAGTCAGGCAGAATAAAAAAGATGGACAAGTCAACACCACAAAGCAATGCACAAAATCTATACCTGCAACAAATATATTGAAAAGGAGATTCCTTTTCCACAAAATCTATACCTGCAACAAATATATTGAAAAGGAGATTCATCATAAAAATAGAAAATGTCTGAAATTAGTTTGTTGGGAAATGCAGGGGACCTATGTGAAGATAAATTTTGGAAGAATTACAAGCAAACTTATATAAATGAAAATGATTATCATGTTCTAGGATGGATGGCCAAAGAGTAAAGTGATTACAGTAAGTCAGTAAGTCCGTTATCCCAAATTCATCACTAGATACAAAGAGAGAGCACATGGGATTACAACAGAGCCTTTTGGGAGGCTTTACCCTTGAACTTTATTTTGTGTTTCCCCTCCCTTCAGTGTGAGAGAAAGAACTGATTGCTATTCTTCATATAACAAACTGGCTTCAAATTCATCTTAAGGAGAAATGCCTGCAGAAATGACTAGTTCAGACATGTTCTTTACTTTTGCCAATAAATTTAGACTTCAGAGCCATCAGTAGCATATCAGAGCTCTTTAGGGGCCATGGTGAGGGAATCATTTTGTGGTTCAGCAAGTTGGCACAATTTATTTTGAGTAGAGGTGTGTGATTAATTCTGGGCACCCGTTTTTACCCAGAGAGGACCCATGCCACACATTATGAAGGACAGAGAATGAGAGAGAGATACCACCCACATCTGCATGGATCACTTGAGTCCACCACATCCCAGAGTGTGCTTCCACGTCACAGCCTTGTAGCTGTGGAATGTCTCCATCGTTGCAGCCCCTTGGCTGTGCCTCTGAGGCTACTGGGGCCCTCCTTCTTACTGCAGTGGACTCTGCTCTGCATAGGATGTCTGCCGTCACAAGAAGTGTCTCTGAGTCGGGGCAGCGGGGTCCGTCCTGAGCCTGCTGAACCTAGTTACCTGTCATGGCTGCTTCTAGGAGTCTCCAAACTGTGACTCAGCATGACCAAACAGGAGACTTGAGAGCAGAAGCTGGTGGGGAGCAAGAAGGGGTTATCATGTAAGGTGTATTTCTGGCAGAAGGGACAATATACCACCATTCATTATCTTAAATTTCACTGACCAGGCACAGTGGCTCATGCTTGTAATCCCAGCACTTTGGGAGGCTGAGATGGGTGGACTGCTTGAAGTCAGGAATTCAAGACCAGCCTGACCAACA